CATACATTCACTCATTATTTCTTTGTAGTTATAATAGGTATTAGATCTGCCACACATACATGCATATCATAATTTTTAATAATGTGGTTAACCGCATTTCAGTATAATTATTTTTCCTTAGAATCATATTCATTTTATTTTACCTATTTGCAAACATTAATCTAGGGGGGGAAAGTACATAGGCTTCATCAAACTGCCCGAAGAGATCCATGGCACAAAATGTTAATAAGCCCCACAATGAAGAAGAGCAGGCTAGCTTGAGGCACTCTGGACAGCATTAGACAATGGACATGTGTTTCATCTTTTGTTTCATAATTCTTTATCAAAAAAAAAAACCAACCACTTCCTCTATCTTCATATGCCCCTGCTCTCAATAAACGATATCATGTATTATATGATGTCTTGTTATGACTTTCTCTGAAAGGATCTACGGTCACCTGGTGAAGATAGCCACATTGTGAAGATGGAAAAACCCAATGAAAGGAGTAAAAGGAGGGAAAGTGAGGTGGGCCATCGGGGATCTGAAGGCCAGAGGGGGATCAGCCTCTTCCAAGCTGTGGGCTACCTTACAGGCGAGATGAAGGAATGCAGGAGCTGGCTGAAAGGTAGGCAAATGTCTGGGGAAAAGACAGTCCCACCAGGTCAGGAAGATAATGCTCCCTTTTATTTGAACTGAGGAAGATACTCTCTCTCTCACTTACAGCAAGGGCTTGCACAGTCGGGGGTGAGAGGCAGGCAGCTCCAGTCCTGAGTTGACTTCTTGGGGCATAATATACCACACTAACTTGGAATTCCCACAGTACCAGAATTAAATGCATTTCACTGATTTTAGCTCTTTGCCAATTGCTCATTTCTATATGGAATATAGGATGACCACATTAACCACATACAAGCCATTTGTAAACAAGCTGAATGGTCATTTCTTTACTTGTTCCACAGCCATTTGTTATGAGCCTGCTACATGCCAAGAATATATTGGCATCACCCTCCCCAGAGTTCCAGGATTTTTTTTTCTTTTTAAATTCTTCCTGAACTAAATGCCTCAACAAACACCAGATCTCCCTACTCCCACTTGGCCCCCCACCTGCACAGGTTGTCCTGGAAACCAAACCAGAGAACAGAACGAGGCAGAATATATGTCCCCTCTTCTACACCTGGCTTCCTCTGGGCCCAGGCTCAATAATGATTTTCACAGCTGGGTTAAAACAATTTCTTTCCCAGTTTCCTTTCTTCAGGCTACTTTTTTCACTGCTCAGATACCAGCCCTTAACTGAGTCATACAACACTACACACAAAAAAGTTTTCTTCCCTCCCCACTCCTTTTTTTTGGACCAATAAATTGCCCCTTGGAATGCTCATGGGCTTCCTTGCCAACCAAGCCAATGGCTGGAACAGTGTTAAATTGGTCTCAGCATGATGTCTCAGTCTGTATGGCAAAAACTACCACCTACTGCAGACTGATTTCTGGGCCACTCAGAGATGGGCTGGGCGCCAACTTCTTCCTACCCCATCCTCCAATGGAGTATTTAATCCTCCCTCCCCTCCAGCCAAGTTAAATGTGGAGAAATGTCATGGCTCCTATGTTAATCTTGGTTGCTATGCCAACCAGTAGTCCAGTGGGGTGACACAGGCTGGACCTGCTAATGGCTCTGTCTATCTCCTGCAGATAAGCCCTTGGCCTTTCAGTTCACAGACTGGATCCTGAGGGGAGCTGCTCAAGTGATGTTCGTCAACAACCCTCTTAGTGGGCTCATCATCTTCATAGGGCTCTTGATCCAGAATCCTTGGTGGACGATTACTGGGGGCCTGGGGGCAGTGGTCTCCACCTTAACTGCCCTCGCCTTGAGTCAGGACAGGTGGGTCCTTCTGTATAACCAGAAGCAGGATAAGTAGTTTACCTGAGTAGTCAACCAACCTTATTCTACCACCAAAGTCTCCCAAGGATCAACTTTGAGCAAGTCATAGAGATCTTTACAGAATGAAACCTCCTACTCACAGAAAGTGACAGCATCAGGCTCCATGTGATTCTACAACCTCCTGGAAACACTCCCCCTCTGAGGGAGGTGCAAGGGAACACCTAGGCTGTTCTTATCTCAGAGCCTGCAGTCTATTTAGAGACAAGATTAATAAGCAGTAAATGTCTTGGAATAATCCAAGACAGTATATAATAGAGTACAGAGAAGACAAACATCACCAAGGTTTGGAAAGATCAGAGAAGGCAGCCTTGAGATGGAAACATCAAATATAGGAGATGGCAGCAAAGACAAGAAAAGGGAGAAGGACAGTGGGGGGGGGTCATCTAGAAGGGAGAGTAAACAGGAGCAACAAGAGGCATAGAAGCAGACACTGGAAGAGGAACCAGCTCTGATGAGGTCCAGGTACTAGCAGATGCAAAATCAGGTAACAGTAACAACTAGCATTTTATAGAACTTAACCCTTTCCTAGACTTTGTGCTATATTATTCTAATGGCTCCTAAACTTTTCCCATGGTCAAAATCACCTGGGGTGATTGTTAAGAAATACAGTTTGGGCCCCTCCCATTCCCCTTTCCTCTTGCTGCTATTCTGAGTCAGTGGATCTGGGAAGTGGAAGTTTTTATAAGGTGCTTCTAAATGTCAGATTTGAGAAATACCAGATTATCCCATATCCTAGTGTTTTCAATTTTAGGATCACCAGCCCATTGCAGATCATGTATTAATTATCAACAGCATTTTAAAACATTAAAACAATAGAATAAAGTAAAACTGGTCTGAGTAATCCATGTATAGTACAGTAAATATTTCGTGAAAATTAGTTTTTCTATATGGAGTGTGTAGGTGTGGGTGTTTGTGTATGCTTATGTGTATGTGTGTGTGTGTGTGTGTGTGTGAGAGAGAGAGAGAGAGAGAGAGCTATGCCAAAATATAAAGTGTATTTTTTACAGTAGGCTTCTCTCACTGTGTCTCATACATGTGATTCTTACCACCATTCCACAGAGCAGGCAGTGAAAGCAATATAGTCACATTTGCAGGTGAAGGAAAGGAGAGTGGGAGTGGAGGGAGCTTGCCCTAGCTGCTATGGCCAGTGAGTAGCAGGATTCTAACACATGATCTGCATCTTCCAGGCTAGAGATTATGCTGTTCCATAGTGACACCCGCATGAACAACATGGCCAGAAAGCCCCTTAGCGAGCCCAGAGCCGAAGTGATTGAAACTGATTGTGTAATAACCAATGTTGCCCATCTGATATTTCACATTCCACCAAGGCAAATTCGTGACTCCTCAGCTCAGGTGGGAAGCTTCTCAATCATCTTTAAGGTAGCCTTGATGATCACTTCCATTCTAGTAAGCTGAGAGGCCACTCAAGGCTGGATGGATGAAAGGCTGCATTATTTTGAGTGTAGGTCTGATGGATGAGATAAAAATGGGCTCCAGTCAAAATCTCTGTGTTTCATCCAGTGGATCCTCTATCCCTTGTTCCAACTTCCCTACTGGGAAGGTGACATAGAATTGGCCCCCTGACAGGCTCAACTCCTATCTTACTGATTCACCACTATTTGCTGAAACTTACCCAGTGGGAACACTATCCAGCCTACTGCCTCCTTAGCTAAGTGACCTCAGTAAAGCACTTTCCCTGTTGGTCCATTTTCCTCCTCTGTGAGATCTGTGATTCAATACAGATGAACCCAAGTCCCCTTCCTGCTCAGACAATCTGATTCTCTGATTTTGCTCCTGACCACAGACTACTGGGAAACTTGCCAAATCATTCAAAGAGTCACTTCACATACTTTAGTCTTACAAGGGGGAAAGAGGGAGGGTGTAGACCAGACCTACCTAATGAGTACTAGGTAGTGTGGTTTCCATCAGGGAAGCTTTGGAAGGCAGGCTGAGGGACTGAGTTTTTCTATATGTCTTTGTCTTAAACTCTATCAATCATGGTGTTCATCTGTACAAGCATCCACAACAAAGTGCCTGTATACACAGCTGTCCTTGCTGGAGACTATCTAGATACTCTTCTGCCCTCTGCCATTTTCACATTCTCTCCCTATCTTGGTCAGTAGAACTCCTGGTCACTATAGAGGTGAAAGCTGCTCCCCCTTCCAGGTTTATGTCATGGCCTCCACTGGGCAAGAGCCCTCCTCTAAGTAAAGTTCCCTTTCTCCATCTTAGGGAGCCATGAGTTTCCAGAATCCTCTGCCAGGTAAGAATATTTAACACACATTCACATTCATTCAACAAATCCCAGCTGAGCACCCTCTGAACCAGACCTTGTGGACATTGATGGGAACTGGGATGGGGGGACAGGAGCAGCACTGAATGCACAAACTAGTTCCAGCCCTCATGGAACTGAGGCAAGTGCGGGACAAACCACAGAGCATGAGGCTCAATTTCCAGCAAGGACTGGGCAGCCCACTCCCTTCATTGGATAGGTCAAGGAGAATGTTTATTAGAACCAGGGTAAGTCTAGGTACACACAGGCTTTTCCTGAAACAGAAAAAGACAATAGACTGAACTTGAAGTCTACTCCTCCTCTGGGTCCCTTTTCACTGAGACATGGAGAAGGGGCAAATGGACCAGAGCTGCCTCAGTGCATCTACTCTGTTGCAGACTTGCAGAGAGAGGAAGCGCCCAACTCCAGTCACACAGCATTGTGCATAAAGCACTCAGAACATTTGCTCTGTCTTCCTCTCCCCACACAATTCCTTCTCATACCTAAAACGAATTCTGTTAGGCTCCTTTTATACCTAGCAGTCTGGGATTCTCCCTGAGTAGCATAGGAGAGCTTAGCCACAGATAAAACAGAGTTATGAAGAGTGAAGAGTGTGTGTGTGTGTGTGTGTGTGTGTGTGTGTGTGTTGTCATCTAGTAGGATTCTGGTGCTATGTGCCTACCCAATATTCATTGAGTGAGCTGAATTTTTTTATGATTAATAACTAAAGGAATCATCTAAATCAAGCAACTCTCTCTCTGAGTACCAGGAGAGAGAGCCCCAGTAAGCATCACCAAATTTAAACAAAAAGTAATTTCCTTCAACCCCAGGTCTGCCATCACTTCAGGAATCCACGGGTACAATGGGATGTTGGTGGGATTGCTGATAGCCGTGTTCTCTGAGAAGACAGACTACTACTGGTGGCTTCTGCTGCCTGTGACCTTCACAGCCATGGCCTGGTGAGAAGTTTTCTTCTTTCTGCTCACAGACCCACACGTTTGAGGTGCTTATCTTTTATACTAGACAAATATAGGACATGCACAGACGTGAGGTGCGTGTCTTCCTAGCCACATGGGTTGCCTGGTAAGACAACGTAAAGCTCAGGAGTTCGATTGCAACACAAGGGAATAGTCAGGGCTATGAACTAACAGGACCCTTTAAAGCAGCAAATGACTACATGCTTTCTATTGTGTTGATAGTCTTCCTTGAATGATAGGCTTTTTTTTTTTTTTTTTTTTTTGCTATAGAGTATTTGTGCTCACCAGAGACAGAGAGAAAGTGAGAAATCACCCCCAGTAAGAATGACTTTGTTACAATTCCTTCTCCTCAGGATTTTGGTCATGCACACACATACACACTCAGCGTGTTTGTTTAAGGGGCCAGGTCTGGGATTTGAACCTCACAATCAGACAGGTGGGATCCAGCTGCCTTAACCACCATACCACTTGGATAGCCCAGAATGATAGACTTAACAATAAAGGCTCCCATTTATTGAGTGAGTTCCTACAAGGTAGGCACAGTGGTAAACAAGGAAGGGTTAATATTGTCCCTAATTTATAGAAGGGAAAAGGCTAAGGAATGCAGAGATTAAGTAATAGTTCATAACATTTTTTTTGATGTTGGTGTTCTGAACCCAAAGTCTGCACTGTTACACTCTAGATTATAGGAGATCATCTATTATGTGCCTACCAAGATCTAAAAGCTGACAGCACATTTACGGGTGAAGCACAAAACCTTTGCACTAGAAGTATGAGCTGATATCTTGCTGTACAATCACCTCATGTTGCAGCTAGAATAAAAAAAGGCAAGATGAAAGGGAGCTGAGAACAAATATTCATTGAATGCAGGGCGTGCTAGCCATTTACGCATACAACCCTCAGTTCTTTTAAATTTACAGCGGATCTATAGAGTGTCCAAGGTCTCAGCAAGGTACCAGCTATATGGTGAACCTTTGTCCTCCAGCCCCTGACTTCACATATATACACCACCTTACTCTCAACTCTCAGACTTTGATTTATGCTGGTTCTTGGCGATATATCAGACATGGTAATTTATTTTTAACATCTCTAAGAAATAAATGTCTGTGTTTGGTTTCAAAGTGTGGAGTTACTAAAACCAGTTAGTTTAATTTAGCTTAAGTACTATTTCATTACTTTTTAGTAGTGCTTGCAAATAAATTACTACATTAAGCATTCTGGGCAATTTATTTTTCTTTTTAGGGTTTTGTTTTTTCTTCCTTAATCCATCGGGACATAAAGCCAAGGCTGTCATTTCTGTGAGGATTTGTCTTGAGGCCTACCATGTACCCCTTGTGAGGAGGAGAACTTCTCTTCATTTGCATACATTTGATCAAGCCCCTCAGCACAGGCCCCTCCCCTCCCTCAGCCATGTTGAACTAGTTGCATCAGCCTTCTGTTCCCTTTGCTCCCACTTCCCAATTTAAAAGTCAAAGCACTCTCACACCCTGTCTGGGCTGAGTGTTGTGCTACTACTCCAGTATACTCATTAATCCATTCCTGTAGTTCTTGAAATGCAATCCATAGGGTAGATGTTAGTTGCATTCTTTTCCAGATTTATCCAATAAACAAATATTTGTTGAGTGCCTGGGGCTATCTGCTGAATGCAGAGATGATCTTAGATGCTGGGGATAATTGTGAGCAAGGAAAAGCCTCTATCCTCTTAGACCTTTACCTCTTATTGGCAAAGATAGAAATAAACTCAGAAACTAGTTAACAAAAATAGTCATTTTAAGATATAATAACTGCTATGAAGAAAGCAAAACAGAGTAAGTGGGACAGAGACAGATTCCAGACATAGGTGGTCAGGGAACGCCACTTTGTAGAGGGAACATTTGAGCTGCCACCTAAATTATAAGACAGCATCTGCCATCTGGAGCTCTAGAAGGATGTCACAAGCAGAAGAAGTAGCACATGCAAAGGCCTAACTTAGGAAGCATGTCGTGCTCCAGAAACAGAGACAAGACCATAGAGGCTGAGGCCCAGTGAATAATGGAGGAGCGGCAAGAGGTGAGGGCTGAGAGTAAACCAGGGTTGGGCCCTGTATGCTCTGAACATCCAGCAGGCCTTCTGATTCTTGTCATAGCAGTGATGGGAAGCAGTGAAAAGATTTTAAGCAATGGGTTGTTGGAATATAGCTTAAATTTCACAAATTGCTCTGCTTCCAATGTGGACAATGGATGAAGTAAGAGTGGATGTGGCAGCTTAGTCAGGCATCTGCTGTAGCATTGTTATAACCCACAGAGAGATGAGAGTGATTTGAAGTAGAGTGATATCTATGAATGTGGCAAGAAGGAACTGGGATTGAGGTATATTTTAAGGAAGAGAAAAGCAAAGGGTTTGCTGTGAGGCTATGAAGTACAAGGGAGAAAAAGGAAAAACAGATTCACTATACTGCTATACTTTGCCAAGCACCTTAGAAGACTAAGACTAAAACAGGTTGATGGTGAGAAATTAATCTAAATCAAAATTCCTACTTGAATATACTATACTTTAGCTTCTAAGTAAAGATGTTGAGAAGATCATTGGATATAAATATCTGAAATTTAGTGCTATGATCAAAATTTGCAAGGCAGAAGCATATAGAAGGCATTTCATTCATAGGGCTAAATGCTTGCATCCAAAAAAGAAAAGAAAAAAAACATCAAAGGAGACTTAAGAAAGAGCAGGCAAGAAGAAAACAAAGTCCAATGTCATGATAACCTAGACAAAAAGTTTTCAACACAGGAGGGTCCCACTGTCAAATGAAGGAGACAGGGAATGATCATGGATTTGATAAGATACATATCATTGGTAAATTGGACAAGTCAATGGCATAATGAGGACACACACCTGATTGGAAGAGGTTCAGGAAAAATAAGGAGCATAAAGTCTGGGTATAGCAAAGATAGCTAACCCATTTGGTGAGTCTTACTGTGAATGGGGCAAAGCTAAAGGGGACATCGGGTTGAAGGGGGAGGACTTTTAGAAGATACTAGAGTAACTTCTGTACTGATGAGAATGTCCCAGAGAAAAGAAGGAAATTGAAGCTGCATGAGAAAGAGAGGAGAGAACTGCAGGAGTGAAGTCCTTGAGATGGATTGGATCTGAAATATAAGAACTGGCCTGATGAAGGACACTTCTACTATATGGAAAAGGCAGAGAGGCAGAATATGTGAGAACAAAGCAGACATCGTGTGGATTTTATGGTTGGGAAGATAAAACATTGCTCATCTAGTCACTTCCATTTTCTTAATGAAGTAAAGCTAGGTGGTTGGCTGAGCCTAAAGGGAAGCAGACAGTAACTATTTGAGGAGAAAGGTGAAAATGTGAAATAGTTGCCTCAGCAAAGTAGGGAGTTAATTTGCTAGGGACGTGTAAAAGGGTTTTTGGGTAGTCCTAAGTGACTATTAGAGATTTATGGTCATTAATTAAAGATAGATCATTCAACCAGATTGTACAATTTCATGTTTTGTCCAGCAGCTTACTAAGTTTGAGAGATGTGGGGTATCAGGGTGACTTGTCTCTTTCAGAACAAATTGACACTAAGGAGATTAATGAACTAAGGTTGTTTGCTCAGCTTGTAGGTATAGGAGTGAATAAGGATTTGCACACAGCTCTGTCTCCAAAATCCATGCTTTTTTCAAGGAAGAGCCCAGGAAGACATAGGGCCATATTGAAGAGCCCAGGAAGACATAGGGTCATATTGTACTTCCATATTTACTTGGCAATACCCAGAAAAGCTCAGAGTATTTTTGTTGAATCTAAGCCTACATGTTACCTTCAAGCCATAACAGCCTCATTTGGAGACTGTCTGACTCCTAAAACATTACCACAACCCAGGACAATAACCATTATACATCTTAATGGTCTAAAAGCAATACATTACATTTTCTAAGGACTGCATTTTGCCTGGTTTATTTGATTTAGGAAATAAGAAAATAGTTAAATTATTTTATAAAGTGTACTATTCAAAATAACTTATAATATTTTTAAATGTATTTCTCAAAGATAAAAACTTCATTACCAATTTATTACCAATTCCAGATCAATAGACCCCTAGAGTCTTATAAGAATCAGGAATGTCTGTGCCAAGGAGCAGGAACAGTGATGGTACACTAACCAGAGTTAAAAGGACAGTGTTGGTCTAAGAATGAGTTGTGATTTATCCTTTGTTTCTCCCACTTTCAGCCCAGTTCTTTTTAGTGCCTTGAATTCCATCTTCAGCAAATGGGACCTCCCAGTCTTCACACTGCCCTTCAACATCGCAGTAACTCTGTACCTGGCAGCTACAGGCCACTACAACCTCTTCTTTCCTACAACACTGGTGGACCCTGCGTCCTCAGTGCCCAATATCACCTGGACAGAGGTTGAAATGCCCTTGGTAAGATACCCAGTAGTGATGAGCTGGGACTCCTAGATTGTAGCAGACCTTCTCACTAACCAGTTTGTGGATTACTCAGCCTGTCAGTTTTTCTAGAAGCTTCTCTTTCAGATGACGGGCCTCAGCAGAGAACCAGATTTACACACCCTTTGCTGCCACATCCGTAAATCTTCTCAACAAACCTTTATCAAACATCTAATCAGTGCCAGGCACTTTTTCAGATTTTGTGAATACAGTTCTGACAGCCCAATTCTTTCTCTTTCCCCCATCACAATCTGAGTTTTAAAGAATCATTTTATTCTCTCTCCTAAAAACAACAGGTAGAAAGACTTCCCTTCTGTTTAGCCCATTTGTTGTTAAACAAGAATTATAAGGAGTACAGAAGAGGCAGGTGCTCAGTAAATTTCCACTGCACACCTGACTGCCCTTCACATCAGGGTGTCCATTATGGCCCAGAGAGCAGCATGCAGGAGAGGGCAGGCCACCTCATGCACAGTTCACCAGGCAAAAACGTGGATCCCAGGGGAGGACGCTTCATTCTTAACCCAGGCTCTATTCCAAGACCATTTGTTCCCTCATTCCTCTCATTCTTGACTGTGTGGGCTTGAAACCCGTGATCCTGAAGGAAAGGTGGAAGTTGACTCCCTCAGCACTCCATCACTTCTTCAGACATTGGCAAGCCCTGGTATATGTACTGAATAGACTTCGAACTTGTTCTCCACACTTATGCTTCCCTAATCTTGTACAAAGTGTTTTCTGAGTTCCTACAAATAAAACTAGACCCCACCCTGCCATTCCTTTCACAAGTTATAGGCTCCATCCCAAACAGTATTTGGTTATTAAAAGGCCAGCCATTCAGAGGCAAGGGTGGACAAAGCTTAAGCACTCTCTGGAACTCCTCCAACATGATGGCCCAAAGAAATGATACTAATTCAAGAACTAAATCAAGCTGTTCAAAAGTATGAAATTTCATTTCAAGGGAAAAATACAGTTTCTTCCAATATTTACAATAGCAGATTAGTATCTGTAAATAATCCAATGGGCCCCAAACTCCATTGCACATAAAACTCACCCAAAACCCTTGTCATGCCCCATATCAAATAAAAATGTATTAGATGAGCCAGGCATCAGTATTTTTTTTCATTTTTTATTGTTTTGAGAGAGATTTTTGCTATAGGGCATGTGTACTCAACAAAGAGACAGAGACAGAAAGCAAGAAAGCACCCTATAGGGGAATGGCCACAGCACAATCCTTTCTCCTCCATTCTCCTCTTGGAATTTTAGGCACGCACACACATATGCCCAGCATGGGTTTTTAACTGCCAGGTCTTGGACTTGAACCACGATTGACTACACGGAAGTTAAACATCGTAACAATCACGCCATCTGCTAGTCCCAGGTGATTCCAATGTACAACAAAATTTAGGAACCACTGAGCTAGTCAATATTTACATCGTAAGCACCTACTATGTACCCAGCCATAAAGAGCCCCATCCTCAAAGAGGTCTTAGACTCTGGTAATACAGAAGAGATACAGTTTTAGAGCGAGAAGATTGTTTTTCAAGCCAGCCTCATGCTACAGAGGAGGATGTCACAGCTCAAAATGAGGAAGCAGCACACCCAGGGTCACACAAGAGTTCATGCAGAGTCCCCTGGACGCTAGAGCTCAACTTTCAGGCTCTCCCTACTTTGTTGTTCTCCCTCCTTTACTTTTTGCCCTCAAAGGTATACAAAAATATGGACAATTCAGCGTGGCCTAAGGGAGACTATCTGACAACACTGCCAAATTGGTTATACCCAGTTCCAACATCACCAAATCACTCTCAGGCTCAGGGATATTTTAGTTTCACACCACCCTCCAGATGTTTTACATAGTATCTTTCCACAGTGCTAAGCACTCCTCCAGATAGAAAAGATGCCTCCTTCTCCTTCCCTGGGGCTGACAATCCCCAGGATATCACAGAATGGGCAGCAGAGGACATGGCAACAGTGGTGTGATGAAAAGACAGCAAGGGTGGTAGGGAGTAAAGCTCAGAGGCTCTGGCCTGTTTGCTAACAGACTAAGTAGCTTTTGGTCAAGTCATTTTCAAAATGGCCTAGAATATTTATTTCTAATTTTCCTAGGATAATTCTAGGATTTTAGAAGGTCTTAAAAAGATCTGCTAGCACCCTGAGCTCCTATTCTCAAAGCCTCTACTATCAAAGCAGAAGCCATGTGTTCCTCAGAAGCATCCATGTCCCTCCCCTGTGTTAGGGGCCCTTGCTTTGCATGAAGAATGCTCAGATGCCTGGTAAGTGGTAGAGTGAGGAACTATTTGTTCCAGTTCATGCCCCCCTATGTTCTCTGGCACAATGGAGGGTACAGTCACCCTCCTGTTCTACCTCATTACTCTCCGCAGGAATGGCTCAAATCTGGCCCTGCAGCCTGGTCTCTGTATTATTGACCTATGCTCCAGTGACCTGGATTCTGTTGACTTTGCAGCTATTACAAGCCATCCCCATTGGGGTCGGCCAGGTGTATGGCTGTGATAATCCCTGGACAGGTGGTGTGTTCCTGGTGGCTCTGTTCATCTCTTCACCACTCATCTGCTTGCACGCAGCCATTGGCTCAATCGTGGGGATATTAGCAGGTAGGATAGCACCCCTGGCTGCAGGGAGGTCCTTGGGATAATTTTATTGAGGTCATTTCTCCCCCAACAGAGCAAATATTCTAGGCTTATCCTCTTCAGAGCTTTAAAGCAATGTCAGGAATAGGGATTTGTTTTTTCCTTTCTTGAGTTTTCAAAGGGAACAAATTGCAGTGCTAGAATGTGTAGAGAGATGCAGGAAGACTGAACACCAAGTCAGCCTGCACTGAGCCCTGGGAGCTGAGGGTGGAGAAGGGTCACATGGGTGGGGGTGGGGAGCAGTAACGGACCAAGCTGAGTGAAAATGGCCCAGCACATTGAAATTTCGATTAATTTAAAAGGAAAAATTTTCTCAGAATTAGATTGCCATTCAGAAAATGTGATTAAACACATACACACACACACACACACATATATATATACACATGCACACATATTTACACACACACACATTTACATATGTAAATGCTCTTTCTGACAATAGTTAGAAATTGGGTAGGAGGTACTGAGAGTATAAGCCTGTTTTTTATTTATTCTAATGTTTTCTGAAGGCTTTTGGAAGGAGAACTTAATATTTTTTTAAATTGGAAAATCATTTCACACTCATAAAAATAATACAAGGACATAAATTATTTGTCCAGATTCACCTTTGTTCACATCCTATCCCTTTACTGTATCATTCTCTATCTACATGTATCTCTATGTGTATGAGGAGACTTCAAAAAGTTCATAGAGAAATGGAATCAAAATATAGGTTTATGTTGGTGCAAAAAATTTTGAAGTTCATACATGGTTTTTTCATAAGATGCATTTTTTTCATGAACTTTTTGAAAACCTCCACATAGATACAAAATTTTTCTGAACCATTTAAAACAGCTTTTTACATTATAATCTTTTCTGCTAAAAATGCATTTGCTCTGGCCACAGGAGCAGGAGGAGGCCTGGAGTCCCACCTCCTTGGCCTCCCCTCACCCCAGAAGTAGCCATACTCCTGTGTGAAATTTATGACTGTGGAAGAAGTTTGGTGACCACTGTGCCCAACTCATAACTGGTTTTTTAAGGCCTGATGGCATTTGTGAAGGATCCTCATGGGCAGGGTTAAGTGTGGGGTGAAAAATGGAAGGGAGGCCACCCAAGTCCTGACCCAGACATAGGGTGGCCTTTGTTCTGTGACCCAGAACTAGCCAGAAAATCCACACCTTGTCTACAGCCCTGACAGTGGCCACACCCTTCAAGATGATCTACATGGGCCTCTGGAGCTACAACTGCGTCCTCTCCTGCATCGCCGTGGGGGGCATGTTCTACGCTCTCACCTGGCAGACCCACCTGTTGGCCCTTGTCTGCGGTAGGTGTTTGGAAAGCTGATAACCAAGTCATCCTAGCTAGTCCTTTCCATCTTGGTTAGGTGACCACGCTGATCACTAATCAGTACTGGGCACCCATAGCAGAAGATCCAGTGGCTCAGGTCCTGATTCCTGTGCTGCCCTTAAAAGCTGGGGATTTAAGTTCCTTCCTCTATCAAATGGGGTCACGAACCTCTTATGCTGTTACACTTACACAATGTTGTAAAGTTTACATCACAAGTGCAGTTCCTTGTGTTACTGGTAGCATTCCTGTTCTTTATAACTCTTCATTCAACAGCTATTTATAGAGCACCACTAAGTGTCTTTTAAGCATGGAAAATACAGAAGTGACCACATCCTTATGAAGCTATGGTCTAGCAAAAGTAAAGTAATTGCATGAGTAATTATTAAGGCTGTGACGCCCACAAAGGTTGTTGGAAAGATCCAGTAAGATGATCTACCTGGAAGCCCTGAAGATTCAGAAAATGCTAACATAGTGTTATAGATGCTCATTTCCATAGAGTAACTAGAGAAGGCACTGTCCTAAGAGAAACTGGCTACATTCCTTATTGTTATCTGCATCCCAGCACCATGCTCTGTGTTATAGAGGTTATAGAGCTCTGTGTATGAGCTCACCTACTCCTCCCAAGACCACCAGGCATAGATTGCCGTCCCCATTTTACAGATGAAGAAATGAGACTCAGAGGATTTAATTAATTTCCTCTCAGACACAGCCATTCATGGCAGAAGGGAGGGTTAAATCCCAGTCCCATTTTTCCACTAACCTTTCTCTCCTGGAGTCACTACTTTCTCTGAAAACAGCAGGCTAGGACTTTAATAAAACTAGAGGTAAGTAAAGGGTGGGATAGTATCCAGAACAGTTTTTCTCTTGTTTTTTCCCACTTACGTGTGGAGACTATAAATGGCTTCCATGTTCTTGGGATCGCCATCAGCAGCCGAAATGAGGCTGGGCACTGAGACAGTGGGCTCAGTAAATAATTGTCAAGTAAGAAGTGCCAAATACTTTGGGGTTCACAGTGTAACTGTCATAGACCTTCAAAGAAGTGGCTGATTTCTATGACTGGAGCCATCTAGGAAGGCTTCAGGGAAAGACTGGAATTTATCACAAAACTTTTGGATAGGAGTAGGGTAGACCAAGAGAGAGGGAAATGTGTTCTGGAAAGAAGACAGAGCAGAGACACCAAGGCAGAAGGAGCTTGTCCAGAGGCATCAGTGGTATGGGTAAGCCTCCTAACTGACTGGATCCTGGGGACTGGCTTAGAGACCAGTGGGGTTCAGCTCTGATGAGACTCAGTGAGCATCATACAGCATCAAGCAGCTCAGAATCTGGGACAAGAGGGACCTTAGCCAGAGCTTCTATAATCTGACTATTCTATCTCTTGCCAGATAATCATCTAGCCTGTGTTAGCTCACCCCCAAAGTCAGCAAAATATGCTTTCTGACCTCTGACTCTATGTAAGACTACCATGGAAATGGAGAGGCAATGAAGAGATATATAAATTGAGCATCCCTAATCTGAAAACCCAAAACCCAAAATGTTTCAAAATCCAATTTTCTGAGCACCAACATAATACAAGTAGAAAATTCCACACTTGACCTCATATGACAGGTTGCAATCAAAACTACAATACAGAGGCCAGCAAGTGGTATGGTGGTTAAGGCACTGAACTACCATGTGGTTGACTGCAGTTTGCGTTCTAGACCCAGCAGCTTCAAATTAATGCCTGGCACATGTGTATGCATGCCCAGAATCCCAAGAGGAGAATGGAGGGGAAGAGATTGCAGCATGGATCCCCTCTGAGGGGGTGATTTCTCACTTTCTGTCTCTGTCTCTCCAGTGAGAGCATGTGCCCTATAGCAAAAATCTCTCTAAAAGAGAGAGAGAGAGAGAGAGAGAGAGGGAGAGAAAACAACTATAATACAAAAATATTATATTTAGGTTATTTATATTACATATAAGGTATATGTGAAATGTAACTGAATTTTGTGACTAGACTTGAGTCCCATTTCCAATATATCTCATTGTGTATATGCAAGTACTTTAAAATTGGGGGAGAAAATTCCATAATCTGAAATACATTTGTCCCAACCATTTAGGATAAGGAACATTCAACTTGTATAAATGTTAATCTCTGCCCTCGAAGAATGCAGAGCCTGGAGGGAAATGGGCCATACCTACCAGAAAAGATACCTAATAATATCAGGCAAGCATGGCAGATGGCAGGGCACAGTGAAGACACTGAAGCTGCAGGAGAGAGGGTAGGACCCCTGCTCTTGGTCTGGGATCCCTGTTCTGTCACAGCAGTGACTGGGGGAGCAGCAGGGACAGGTTCTGGGAAACTGACTCTGATGGTCCTTTTCCTCCACAGCCCTGTTCTGTGCATACATGGGAGCAGCCCTCTCCAACATAATGTCAGTGGTAAGTTTGGATTCTCCTGAATGCTCCCCTAAAGAGGCTTCCCCAACCACAGCTTCCAGACACTCATGATCCCACGAAAGAATCCTCAGTGGGTTATAGTAACTGGTATTCCATATAATGCCTCTGTCAAGGCTTATCTAGGGTTTGCCAGAGAAGGACTGGCAGTGGAGTACAGGTGCCTCTAGGGAGTGGGTATGGGCATTGAAAGAAAGAGATGGCAGTGTGACTAGCATTAGATAAAATGGATGGGCAAATGGAGCATATGGCTGGAATGGGAGACCATTCCAAGGCCAATTTTAGTTCCCTCATTAAAAATTGTTTACTGTGCCAAAAGATACTAACATGTCAAATTCCTTCATCTCTGACATTCTGAGTCTGGAAACCCCAATACTTTCACCAGGAGAAACTCCCCACCCCCTAGCACCTCTTTCTCTCTTCTCCTCCTTGGTCCTCGGCCCAAAGAGGAGCCTAGAAACATCCTTCAGACCCCTATGCCTTTATTTGCAGGTTGGTGTGCCACCAGGCACTTGGGCCTTCTGCCTCTCCACCCTCATCTTCCTGCTCCTGACAACCAACAACCCTGCCATATACAAGCTCCCACTCAGCAAAGTCACCTACCCAGAGGCCAACCGCATCTACTACCTGACAATGAGGAGCAGCGAGGAAGAGAAATCTCCCAGCGGTGATTAGCCAAGTTCCAGGCAGAAATGCTCTTGTCTAGAACTGGTGTCTGCACCCTGTGCTCTCAATTCTAGGCCAATCTGCCACAGTACTCACCTTCCTTGCTTCTCTTCACACCTGTGTGGAACCAAACACACCTGTTAACTCCCTTTCCCTGAAGTTGATTTTCTCTCTCTCTCTCTCTCTGCCCAAATCTCCGTAACAATCCATTGTGCAACATTAAAGAAAGTTGGTAATAAGATTGCCAGAGTTAGAAGTGAGGAATGTATTTATATGTTGCTGACTTCTAAACTTTAGTTTTTTGGGAAAGTGATTAAGAGATCATCTTCATAGCATGTTTAACTAAATGATAGATGTTGTAAAACCTTATCTTGTTGAGTGATTCTTAGACTCAGAGTCAGTATAAGACAAGGGTCATAAGCTAGGAAACGAAGGTTCTCTGGTGTGCAGAACTGGTGGCTGATGGGCATGTAGAGCTTTACACAGAAGAGAAAGAGATGGTACATCTCTTTTTCAAAGTCTCAACTCTGTCATACTGACAGAATTTTGAAATCAAAACAGGAATGATTAGGACGCTGGAAGTTTCTAAATAAGGAAACTTAAACGTTCAATAGTCTGAGTAAGACGCAAGATGATATTCCATAGAGGGAAGGAATTAATAAATCAGAACTGAGTATACAACTTGATTATTATAGAGGACAAGCATTTCTTGGTTTAGGTCAAACCAGCAATTCTGAACAGAGATTTTAATTGAAGAAAGTACCTAAGCTCAGTGTGTGACAAGCTTGAGAAACTTTTATTTTTCTATTTGCTAATGGGTGCTAGAGGCTTTATGAGGTCTGTGATACTTAAAACAAATGGCCAGTCCTAATTATAGAAAGATAATCAATTATCTATGAGTTTCATACTTTGACTTCTCAACTAAACCCAACAGCTTGCATAGTCTTTAAATATATATAGATCAGGGCCAGCAGGTGCCATGGTGGTTAAGGCGCTGACTCCCACATGACCAGCAGTGATTTGAGCTCCAGATCCGGGGGCTTAAGACTCACACCAGGTGTGTGTGCATGCAGAATCCCAGGAGGGGAATGAAGGAGAAGGGATTGCAGTATGGCCATCCCCCATGGAGTGTGATTTCTCACTTTCCCTCTCACTGTCTCTCTCTTAGTCTATCTCCAGTGAACACACATGCCTTATTGAAAAAAAGAAAAAAAGTAAATATTTTCATTTCTAGGGCCAGCAGATGGGACAGAGGTTAAGGTGGCTGGATTCCACATGGCTGACTGCATGGTTTGAGTCCCAGATCCAGTGGCTTGAGAAGCATGCTGGGCACATGTGTACGCATTATATATATATATAAAATCTTCGCTCTGTCTCTGGTGAGCACATGCATCTTATAGCAAAAACTAAAAAGAACAAAACTTTTTCATTTCTAGAGATAATACATCCTCTTCAGAGTTTCAACTCTGTTGTTTTAGCATAAAAGCAGCTATAGACAAGGTGTAAATGATGAGCATAGCCGTGTTCCAGTAGAACCTCATTAAACCACCAGCAGGCTAGATGGCCCATGAGCTGTAGTTTGCAGATCACTAATAGAGACTAGTCACAGAACGGTCAGGAGCTAGTGGACAATATGCAGACCTAACAGGACACTACCACGTCCTTTGCAACAGATGTAGCTACAAAGGTGCTTTCCATTTTGGATGACAGTGAGACTCTTGGGAAATAGGGAGCACCCAGAAAAGTAAGACTAGCAGGACTAGAATCAGGACAACCTGCACTAAAGTTCTTTCAGAGAATTGGCAGACTCAATGATGTGCAGTTAAGATTCACTGTTCCATGCCCCTCATGCATACAATTAGGAGAAAGAAAAAACAATGACCCTCCAGTGCAGGCATTTCCAGGCCAAAAGAGTCAAGAGCCTCAGGATTGGAAGGTCCAGGTATAAAGGTCAAGTGGTCCCACCATACTGTGATGCATGAATCCCTCTATAATGGAGAATAGGAGCTCCATTTCTTTCCCAGGTTTCCAGGGGAGATTCAGTTACCCACAATGGAGGGGAGACTATCAAAGTATTCTAATAAGAGATCATAAGAACCAGAGACCCCATTCATTGTCCTAAAATATCTCCTCCTCTCTTCATTAAGCCTTGTAGGCTTTCCACCCAAAGACTGAATCTGAATGGGAACTTTTAACCATGCTTATTGGATTCCCATAAGGGGAAAATTAATTGGTTTTGAAAAATTACTTCAGCTCACTTAGACAAGATTACCTTTTTCTCACTTCCCTTCCCACTCTCCACGTCATCTCATAGAAAATGAAGAGTTCCCTGAAATGATCCTGTCTTGCCCTCACCAGAGCAACCCCATTTCACTGACCAGCTGCATGAGTAGGTGCAGGATCCTTAAACTTGCAGATTCACATCATCAGCGTGACACTGTGTGAGAACAGGCCACCACAAGAGAAGGAAAAGGGCTTTGGAACCCATACACTTGCTGTTTTTCTACTATAACCCCAACTACTGGCAACAGCTCTTGGTTGTACATCTGATTATGTCCATGTTGAACATGAATATGCAAACATTAAAGATATGTGGGTTTGGGAAAGAAGGAATTATAGAACAAGCTGTGTCTCAAACACTTTCCCCTTGTTCATCTCTGTGCCCATTGTCCCTTCCCCCAATCTTCTCATGTCCTTTCATTCTGATTTCACCTCTCTTCCTCCCATTTTCATCTCCTCTCCTACAACACTGATGAATCCTACTGTCAGCCATGGCACAGCCTTCTTACGCTGCATTTTAAAATGGTAGATCTTGAATCATCTTTCTAATCTCTTTGATAATAATTGGCATAGTCAAGCTTTCTACTTCATCTTGGGTGACCCTTGAGAATCTGTTTGCTAAGTTATAATCCACTTTCTTTAGTTTTAAAATGTTGTTGCCGTAGTTACTCAGTGTTTTTATATAATCAGCTCAATCTCTGCTCTGTCGTTTATCTCCTTTCTCGTTTTTAATCTTATGTACTTTTGTTCTCTTCCTTAATTAAGTTTGTAAGGAGGTTGTCCATTGCATTGACTTTTTCAAAGAAGCTGTTCTTTTATTTGCTCTTTCTTCTTGTTTTGTTGTCTACTTAATTGATTTTTTCTCATTTTCTTATAGTTTATTTAAATGATTTTTTTTCCTGTTTTAAAATTGATGTAAAGTTTATTTCAGGTCTTTCTCCTTTAACAACAAAGCCATTTGAGGCAATTAATTTTTTCCTGAATACAGCCTTAACTGTGTACTATAGGTTTTGGAACAAAGAATTCTACTTTCATTAGTTTTTAAATATTTTATAATTTTAGGTTTATTTCTATTTGGTAATTTGAATATTATTTAAGACTGTATTTCTTAACTTCTAGCACCTTGGAATCATTTGGTATTTTTAACTTCTTATATATAGTTTTATTATATTATGAACAAAGGATACAGCCTGTCAAATCTCTGTTTTAAAGTTATATGAATTTTTCTTTTTTTCCAAGTACCTGATTGATTTTGAACATACAAAATGCAATTTTTTTATTTGAATGAAATGTATATTAAATGAAGTCATTAATTGTATCATTCAACTCCTCTATGTTCTTATTTTTTTTGTATATTGAGTTTTAATTCTGAAAAGAATTTATCAAAAATCAACTATAATTGTAGAGTTTTATTAACTTCTCTTCACGTTTCTAAACATTTGCCTTATGTATTTGACTACTACATTGTTTGATACCTATTAATTTATGACTATCATTAATTCTTCATAAATTTTATCTTTTACATTACTAACTACTCAAATAATTCTTTTAACCTTCATTCCAACTAATCTGGTGTTAGGGTTACCATACTGTCCTTTTTTCTGATATTGCTTTATCCTTTTATTTTTGTCTTTATCACTTGTTTTTAACTTTTTTCTTTAGACTTTATCATTTTCTTGTAACTATATTTCTTAAAAATAACATGTAACAACGTTTTTTTAATGTTTTTTATTTTATTTTTATATTTTTCCACAAACATTTACTTTACATATCAAAAAATTTTAACTCACACTCCATAGTTCTTCAGATAAAAAACAACTTTCAAAATTTCAAAATACTGAATTTTAAAGATAATGTTCAAAATATTTCTTATAATTTTGTTTGTGACTATAGCAGCAGAAACAGTACGGTTTTAAATATTTTTGAGAAAATATTTACATGCCAGCTATTCAAATTGTAATTGTGTTATTTTTTTAAACTACATAGGAATTTGGGGTGAGATGAGACCCAAGAATGTAGTTCTCATTACAAGAGACTCCTAATTCCTTTGTCCTGCTTCTAAGAAATTTGACAACAGGACTTTCTCAAGATAATCCTCTGGTGTGGTTGCTCATTTGCAATCTCTACTGATTACAATGCTGGGCTGGAAAAGTCCAGGTTATTTTATGTTATAAATTCGTTCATATATCTTCTTTAATCCTCTCTAACAATGTTTTATTTTTAACCTAATCTTAGTGTTTTTATCATTTAATAGGTTAATTCAACCTCTTTTTAGTATAACCGCCAATATGGTGTTTTATTTCCTCCGTCTTTATTTTTTACTGCTTAGTTTTCATTGCTGCTTTCACATTTTTCCTTTTTCTCATTTTGCAGGTTCGATCATGTTATCATCTGTCTTTCTTCCCTGTGTTAATTTAGGAAGTCTGCTGTTTTCCACTTCTCTAGTCATTACTGCCCCTTTCTCAACACTTGTAATCAAAAGCTATTCCCCTATATTAAATAAATACAAGGTGCCGAACAGTTTACGCTGACAAGATACTCCATTTCTCCAAACCTCCTTCCCTACCTCAAGGAACAAAAGCCTTTATAAAACTTTCACTGTTTCCCCAATGCCCCATTTCTTAAAACACTTTTATTTTTTCAGTCATCTCCCATCCCTAAATTTTGCTGAGATAATTTATAATTTTTAATTCTTTTTTTTTTTGAAAGGTTTTTGCTATA